AAGTAAAAGTAAATAATAATAATAATATATATATATATATATATATATATATATATATATATATATATATATTTTATATTATTTATTTATTAATTTTATATAAGAAACTATTTATATTATTAATAAATTTTAATTTATTTTCTTAATATCTTTTTATAGTAATATGATAATTATTTTTATAAATATAATACATATTATTTTTATATTTTTACTATAATATTTTAATATTTAGTCATTTTAATTTTATTTTTATTAATGATCTATATATTAAATAAATATTTTTTTTATTTAATAATAAAATTAATTATTATTATATTGATACCCATATTTATATAATAATCATATAAGTTTTGTTTTTTATTTATCTTTTTTTCTTTTTTATTTTATTTTTAATTAAATAAATTAAAAATGGCTTTTATTTTTATACTTTTTTTTGATTAGTTTCGTATTTTAATTTTTGAATAAGAAAAAAGTTTAAACAAATAAAAATAAATTAATAAATAATATATATTAATGTTTACAAATAATTATATCAATTTGTTATTGTAAAATTTATTAAGCAATTATATATAATTGTATTCAATGAATAAAAAAAAAATTGATATAAAAAAATTATTTTATATAATATATTAATAATTAATTAAATGAATTAATTATATATATATATATATATATATATATATATATATATATATACATTATATATATATATATATTTATATATTTATTTATCTATAAAAATAATATATATTTTTTTTTGAAATAAAAAAATAAAATAATTATGATTAAAGTTTTAAAATTATCAAATTATTTTTAAAAAGTTAATAAATTTATATAGATTTTTATATTAATAGTTTTTTTTTAATTTTTATCTATTAATTTTATTTTGTATTAAATATACAATATAAAATATTTTCGTATATAATTTTTTAATTCAAATATATTAGTATTTTAAATAAAAAAAAATATTATTATATATATATAAATATTTATAAAAATTAATTGAAATTTTTTAAATTTTAATATTTTTAAATTTTATTTATAATTATATTTTTTAATAAAATTAATAAAAATATAATATATTTTAATAAATAAAAAAAAAAAATACAAAAATTTCATAATTCTGTTTTTTAATAAAATTTATAGCTTTTTAAACAATTTATTTCAAAATCTCTTACTTTAAGATATTATGTTCCCCATTTAAACTCGCTCCAATCTAAATCTTTATAAATAACTTCAACATTTTTATCATTTAAAGGAATATTATTATTTTTCATAAATTCATTATCATATAAGAATGGATCTTTTACCTTCACCAATTTATATTAATCAAATTCATTTACAAGAATCATATCTTCTTCATCATTCATACTAACTTCAAATCTCTAATTATCAGTTTCTATATATAATACATGCTTTTTTAAGTGATGACTAACCCATTCTTTAGGTTCAGAAGATTTATCGCAAAAATTAATTATGGAATATTTATAAGCAGGATCATTACTTAAATTAAAAACTATATTTACTTCTGGAATTGGTAAAATATTTTTTCCTGTTACAATATTACTTAATTTAACCTAAAATAAATAAATATTAAATTATATATAAATATAATATATAAAAATTTAAATATATATATATTTATATATTTATATATTTATATGTATATTTATATATATATATATTTCTTAATTAATACTTTTTTTCTACCATTAGGTATTGACATTAAATATGAACTTTTATTTATATCTTCTTATTTTCCTAAACTATTTAATAATCTGAAACTTTCAGGCTTAATTGTGTGTCCTAAATATTATTTATTAGATCTCGAAAGAATGTCATTCTTAAAAAAACTTACATAGCTTTTTCTATTTTTGCTGACTTTAAAAGTAAGTGAGACTCCTGCATAAGGTGAGTCTTTTTATATATGTGGATTATTAAAATTTAAAAATCCATGGTGTATTAAAATGCATACAATATCTGAATCACTAGTATAATTTTCGTTACCCCAAATACAGCGGTTTAAGTATTGTTTGTTAAATCTGTGAATGTATTCTTTTGATACTCGAACTTCAATAATTTGGTTTAGTTGGTCGGAAAGATCGGGGAGTTTAACTCCTTCGGCATATATGTAAAATTTTTAATTGGAAGATGTTGTGGGTTATGTGTGTGTTTGCTTTTATTGTTATTGTTATTGCTTTTATATTTATTGTTAATTTATTTAGTTTTGGATTTCTTCTTGTTATTTATTCTTTTTAAGGTTTTGAGTTTTTTATTATTATTAGTTTGCTTTGGGATTTGGTTAAGAAGTCTTTAATTATTTTAAACGAGTATTTGCCTTTTATTAACGGAGGGTTTCTTGTTTTTTTTTTTCATAGTTATGTTTTGGTGGTCGGAATCTTCTTAAGAATCAAATTCTTCATCTTCTTCTTGATTTTCGTCTTAATTTTCATCTAAATCATCATCATTGTCTATATTTTTATTTTATTTATTATTTTCTTTTTTGGTTTACTTTAATATTGTTGGTCATCGTAGTTTGGATCAGGCTTTTTTTTTTATTAATTTTAATCTTTTTTATTGTTTAATTCTTCACTAAGGAAAGATAGGCCTTTGTCAGATACTTCGTCGAAATGGGGAGATATTTCTTCAAGGTTTTCGTTATTTGTATTTTTGCTGTTTTTACTCATGTTATTTTTTTTTTATATTATTATATGTATATTTTGATTATTAGTTATTTTTTTTATTTTTTTGTTTTTTTAATAGTATTTAGAAAATATAAAGTATATTTTATTTTATATATATGCATTTTTTTTGTTAAACAAAAAAAATATTTAATTTTAATTAATATAATTAATTTTTTTTTAAAAAAAAATATATAATTATTAATTTATTTTTTGAAAATATTAATAGGAAATTAAAATATATGTATACTTACTTTTTGTAATTAACTTTCAAAACAAATAATTTATTAAAAGATATTTTTATATTAAAATCAATATATATTAATAATTTTTATTATTTATTTCAAATAAATATCAATTAAAATTTTTATTATGTTTGTATTGATAATTATTATTTTTTGAAAATAAACCTAAAAAAAAAATATAATAAATTTATAAATTTAATAACATAATTTATTATTAAAAGTATTTAAATATTCTTGATTATAAAACTATCAAAAAGATAATTTATTTAAAAAATATATTTTAAAAAGAAAAATTAATTAAAATATATTTTTTATATTATATATTTAATAATTCATTTTATATTTATATAGTGTTATTTGTCTAAATAATATTATTTTTATGTTTCTATATATAAAATATAATATTTTTTTTAATATAAATAATATTTTTTTTAATATATATATATATATTAATAATGATTTATAAATAACTTTTCTTAAAAATAGTATGATTAAAAAATTAAATAATATAAAATAAATATATATAGATTATTAGTATAAAAATCTAATACATAATAAGTATTTTATAAATAGTTAAATTATTTTGTGATATATATTTATTATTTAATTTTACAAATTTTTATTTTAAAAAAGACATTTAATTTAGTAAATATATATAAAAAAAAATTAAATTATATTTATATTATGATAATACATATTATTATATATAATTTAAATTTATAACAAATACATGTGCTCAATTTATATAAATATGAAATAACATCTAATTATATTAATATTTATAATAACAATTATATAATTAACAAAATAATAACATATAGAATGCTTAAATTATTCATTAGCCGAAATATACATTGAACCGATATAAAATCAATGCTTCTAAACTATAATCCCGCCTTAATTAGAGAAAATTTATTTTAAATAAAGTAGCCAGAATCTTTATTAGTAATAAAAATATAGAAAACAGAATGCTTATTATTTTGATACTAATTATTACGAATAACATGGACATACGAATATAATATTACATACATTATCAGTAGCTTATGATTATTTATTTTATTCTTCATAAATAAATTATTACAATGATATGAGTAATATATCTGAATAATTAAATAGCTTTGCATCTAATTAATATGAAAGTAGTCTATAAAATGCTTAAGGGATTGTTTAGGAAATTTCCGAAGTTTCTTCAGGCGGAAGTTCAAGTTAATTTAAGATTGATTATGATTCTGCAATTTTAATTATCATTGTTATTTTAATGATTAGTGTAAGCTTCCCTATTCCTTTTTTTTCCTTTTTTAATATTTGGATAGAATAATATAAGAAAATTTGGAAAAAAACCCGTTCGCTTTTTGGACTTTTAATAAAATGTTTTTAATTAATTTGGTTTTTAGCTTTTTTATTAATGAGTATGCGATTTTTAAATAAAAGTAATATAAAAAAGGAATTTATTGGATTTTTATTACATATTCTATATGTACAAATGCAGCACTTTTGCACTTTATATAGAGCATAAACATTATGCATGGAGCTCACTTTATGGGGTTATTAATGCAGTTTTACATATAATTTATTTTATAAAAAGAATTGATTCTTGATTTAAGATATATATATATATTTATCTTGTATTTTTGTATATTTTATATTATATAATTAGTTAATTTATTTTTTAAATATACATATATATTGTATGTTTATATACAATAAAGTAATATATGATATTATGAAAAAATAATTAAAAATTAATTTTTTGCTTGTTTATTATATTGTCAAACATATTCATGTATGATTTTTTTTCATAATAGAAATTTTATCATTTAAACTTTACTAATTTTTAATAAGATTTTAATTTAAATCTTAATTCTAATCCTACTCCTACTCCTAATCCTAATCCTAATCTTAATTATGATATTCCGAATACATTTTTTCAATTTATTCTTTAGTCTTTTTAGTCGTACAATGCATTTTCCTAATCAAAATTGGCACAATTAAAATCGTAATGACACTAAAAAAAAGCATTGAATACTCCGGTCCAAAATACTTTAATAAATATGGAAAAAGTTACACTGTAGTTAATTAAAAAATCCAATAAGCAAAACAAAATAACCCTACACCTATAGGAGGCATAATTTCACTTGGAAAAACTAAATAAAATAAAATATATAAATATAAAATATATATAAGCAACTCCAATGTATAGTAACAACAGAACTCCCAATAATTAATTTATAAATAAGAAGTAGATATTTTTAATAATCATATAATTATTTCCATCCAAAAACAGCATATGTAAGTAGCATTACTGATGAAATTAATAAACCACCTATATACATATTTTTCCTTTTGAATTTTTCAATCATAAACATAGCTAATATACAACCTATAACATCCCCTAGGGGCATAATAGAAGTAAAAAGTCTTGCAGTTTAATCAGATTAATTTATCCTCATTAGACTATATGAATATACATTAATAATACCGGAACCTGAATAACAAAAGACTAGTGTAAAAAAAGTAATTAGAATAGTCCTAGATAAGTATCTTTTGTTAAATAAGTCTTTATATTATAATTAGTTTTTGGTGTTATTTATTTCCTATTAAAAAATTATCATTGATTTAATTTCCTACTCAACTATATCTTGCTAGTAGTATTTCTCAAGAGTCTTTCTAGCCTCATTTTAGTCTTATTTATTTATCATTATATATGAAAAAGTCTCGTTGCGGAAAAATATATGGAAAATAATATTCACTAAAATACCTAAAACTGCAGGAATGCCTAATATTATTCGCCAAAAATTATTTTTTTGGCTTTGTTTTGGGTCAGAAGGTAAGCCATAACTTGCTATATAGGAAAAAGCAATTCCTAGGCAAAAAAATATAGAGTATATTACCCCACTTATTCCTTTGTATTTTTTACAGGCGACTTCTAAGGTGTATAAAGGACCAATTGTACTCCATATACCAAAACTAAATCCTATTATAATACGTCCTTTAATTTTATTTTATTTTTTTTAAAAAGCTATTATTTAAAAAAACTATTTTTTAAAAAAAGCTATTTTTTAAAAAAGCTATTTTTTTTTAAAAAAAGCTATTTTTTCAAAAAAGCTATTTTTAAAAAAAGCTATTTTTTAAAAAAAAAAATACCAGCAACTAAGGCATATGTGTGCTTTATTAATGTTACTCCAGTCCCTAATACAGATATATAATTAAAAATTATCAAAAGTTTTCTCCTACCATGTTTTTGGGCCCATTTACCGCCAAATAAAGCTATTATTGCAGCTACAAATTGTGGTAAAGAGTTTATTAAAGATATATAAAGAATTTTTTATTCTAAATTCCAGGAATATATGTAATCTAGATGGTCGGATAAGTTGTTAAATAGGCCTATATGGTAGGCCATGAGTACATTAGTGAATGAAGCATGGAAAATCATAAAGTAAAATACAAAACGACTCTTTAATATTAAATGTTCTTTAGAATTATTTGCATAACATGTTAAGTTTATAATTTAGTAATTGTATTTTTCCATGTCTATTAAAATATTTATGTCTGTTTCTTCATTTTATACACTTTTGTCTAAGTTATTTACTATTTAATGGAGCTATTTTTAATCATTATCATTATTTATACTACTGTTGTTATATTCTTATTGTAACACTAAAGAATCCATTTTTGCGATTTTTATATATATTAGTTTATATATATCTATTTTTTATTTTTTTATTTTTTGTATTTATTTAATTTTTAGTTTTTATTAATTTTTAATTTCTATAATTAAATTTGAAATACGTATTAAAATTTAAGATCTAAAAATGTATTTTATATAGATAATGTTATGAAAATGATTGCTTAGAAGGCTAATATTAAAATAATAAAACTTAATAATGAATAAAATTTGGACCTAAAATGTATAACTTTTCAAGGAGACAGAAATTAAAAATATTTTACATGTAAATAAGATTTTTAATTAATACAGAGTAATATAATGCGTTTATTGTCGAAACAAAATAAAAAAATATTTAATTTAGTCTTTATAAAATTTAGAAAATTTAATTGTTTTGGGAAAATTCATAAAATTTATATGACTGGGTCATGTTATTATAATATTAAGTTTTGTTTAAATTGATTTAATTTACAATATTGAATAATTTTTTTAAGTTATTTTTTGATGAAAATGGTTTAGTTTTTTTTATGAAGTAATTTTGATGCTTTTTTTTTATTAAAAATTAAAGGAAAATATTTCTATTTTAAATTATTTTAGATAGATTTCTAATTGGGTTTTATATTTTATTTTTAAATATGATTTCATTATTTTTTTTTAAATAATATAATATTAATTATTAAGGTTTTTTATTTTAAATAATTAAAAATAATTTTTAAATTTAAGAAAATATGCTTCTGTAGGATTTTTTAAATAAAATTTATATAAATTATAGTTTATTTATTTAAATTTAATATTTTATTTTATAGTTAGTCAATTTTATTTTTTATAAACTATTTTATATAAACCTTTATTTAGAATATAAAGTATTTTTTGGAATAAAGATTTTAATTGCAATAATTTATTTAATTTGATTGAATTTATGAGAATAATTATATGATAGTTTTTAGCATTATTTATATTTTATTATTGGAACTTAAATTATATTTTTAGTTTTTTAGTAATATGTAAAGAAATATGTAAAGATCTGAAATTATAATTTTTTTTTAAATGTAAATGAAATTTAAATATAAGATATTATTTTAAATATTAAAAATATAGATTTTAAGTAAATTTAGGATAAAATTATATATAATAAGCAATATGATTTCATCATATAATTATAAAATTTATATTTTTAAATTAATTTTATATTTTATTTATTTGTAATTTTGTATATTTTTTTAAGATTATATATATATTTATATACTATTATTACATTAATTTTATAAAAAATTACAAAAAAATATTGAATAAAAAATATATATATATTACTTTTTTATATTTTTCATTTATAGTCTTTTTTTTTTTTATGTTTTTTATGTTTTTTTCTACTCGAAGAACTTCTTGACCTTGATCTAGATTTGGAAAAAGATCTTCTGTTTTTTTTTCTTTTATCTCTATTATCTTCATTAATAATATTACTATTTTTTTACAAATCCTTAAATATTTTTTAGAAGAAAGTGTTTTTATTTTCCATATTATTAGAATTATTTAAACTTTATTTCTTTTCTATTTTTTAATTATTAAGGGGAGGAGGGGGAGGTGATTCAACTTTTTTTTTATTTTTAATTATAGTATGTTATTATTATTATAATTATTATTTTCTTTCTATACGATCCATAAATTTTTTTTGGATTACTTGAATTATTTTTTGGTATAATTTTTTCCTCAACTATTTAATTTTTCAAATTATTAGAATCATTTTCATTACTTAAACTATCGCTATTATTTTCTAAATTTTTCATATTTATATCTTAAATAGATTACTATTACTATTATAATTACTATTACTATTATAATTATTATTATAATTATTATTATAATTATTGTTATTATTACTACTATTAAAAAACAGATTTTTATGTTTACATTTAATTCGGAATTAAATTTTATTAAAAATAAGGATTAAAATAGGGATTATAAGGCGTTTTCATCATAAAATTATTCATTATATTAGATTATTAAGGCAAAAAAAGGGGCGGTTTTTAAGGTAAGGGAATATTGCTTTTTTTAATTAGATTTGAAGGGTTAATATTTCCATAAGAAACATTATTTTTTTTTTCTTCAAAAATTTCATTTATATAATATATTTTAGAAATGGGTTCTTTGGAGATTTTTTCGTCTTTTAATCCAATATTATGTATAAACTATTCTTATAATGCCACATAGTCTATTATTTTTTGTTTTTTTTTTATTGTATTCTTTGTAGTTTTCGAAATTTTCTTCTTCTTAATTTTCATCTTCTTCTTCAAAATCTTCGTTTTGGTTTTCTTCCTCATCATTTTCCTCTTCGAATCTTCGCACGAATTTCGAAACTATGCAATTGCTTTTATATAGTGTCTACATGAAATTGTTTTCATTTATATTCTAGTTTTTTGCAAAACTTCTGTCTAAACAAACCATTATTAATTAATTTTTATCAAAAATATTAAATCCTTATTAATTATCTAACAAATTTTTGTCAAAAGGATGCGAAAAACCACCATATTCTAATGGTGTTTTATCATTCATTTTATTTAGATTGTATTCGTTTTCCTTATAGGTGTCGTTTATTGAAAAATTACCACGACAAGCACGTACTTGGTTGGTGTATGCGCGAAAAGTCTCCTCACAAAAACCATAGTTGAAGTAATCAGTAAGATCTTAGTTACTTTGAAGCCAGGGACGATCGGTATCTTTGGTGAATTTTGTGTAGAATATTTATGGTATTAAAAGCTTCATGACTTCTTTTTTGTCTTTTTTTATTTAAATTGGGGGTTTGGTTGGGAGTTGAGTAGACATTTTTTTTATAATTTTTTTTTTTTTTTTATTGTGAAATGGCTTCTTTTATTTTTTTTTTTCTTTATGGGAATTTTGTTTATTTTTTCAAGTATTTTTAAATATTTTTTTTATATAAATATATATTTTAATTATTTATATATTTCGTTTGTTTTTTTTTAATTTTTTTAATTTGCTTTTTTTTTTTTTTAAAAAAAAATATTTTTATATTAAGAAAAAAAATAATTTCATTTTTTAATATAATATTTATTAATAAAATTAAATAAATATTTATTAATTTAGAAAAAAAAAAAGTTTTTAAATAAATTAAATAAAACTTTAAATATTTTATTAATTTAAAATATTCTAATTATATTATATTTCTTCAACAAAAAATATATATTATAATTCTTATCTAATAATTTGTAATTATATAAAATTAATATTAATATAAAAAATAATAATTTATAAATTTAGTTTAGAAAAATTATTATAAAAAATAATAAACTACTTTAAATTTTATATATATAATTAAGATTATGAACATAATATTTATTATTTTCATTAAGTATAAACCACAATTTTACATTGTAATTATGTATTTAATTTATTTATTTTAAGTTTATTAAATTTTATTCTTATTTTCTAATATAAATTAATAAAACGAAAACAATCTCTAATTTAAAATAAATTAGCTAAAAACATAATAATATTAACAGAATTAGATTATTACGTTTATAGTATTCGCATTATAAAGTTCATCATAAGTATAAAGAAAATACGTAAATAAATTAATTATAGACTCAAATATCATTGTTAGGTATTATTTTTATGAATTTATTATATATTAATCCACGAAAATAAATAGTTATTGATTATATAGTATCAGGCCTATGTTTTTGTATTATGATTCTAATTTTCTAAAAAATTATAGGAAATATATTATTTATATTAAATATATAAAGTTTCCAAAATTAAAATTTTGGAAATATAGGAATTAAGAAAGGATTTAATTTAAATTAATATTACCTTTTTCATATTATAATATACCAAAATAGGAAAAGATGAAAATAATGTTAGTTTTTAATATCATAGAATGAAAAAATTAATAAAGAAAAACAAAAAAATAATATAAAAGTTAATTTAATTCATCAAAATAATCATTCTCTCGATTAAATAAGAGTTTAAATATATGAAACATGCTAAAAATATATAAAAATTTTAGTATTTTATTAAAATATTAAACTTGATTAATATAATTACTTAAATATTTAGAATTTAAATAAAACTTTAACTATTTATGAGGCCTTAAAAATAAATATAAGTTATATTTCCTTAGAATAATAAAATAATTTTTTTCTTTATTTCATTAGTATTATTTAAGCCATTTAATTAAAAATAAGAAAGTTTGAAAAAATTTACAAAAAAAAAATTGATTAATATTTATTATTAAAAAGTTATTTAGAAACAATAATTAAAAAAAAAAAAATCTAGAGAAAGTCAAAAAAATAAAGTAAGTTTATAAAAACATTATTTAATTAAGGTTTTTGATAGTATTTATTACTGCTTTAGATATTTCAAGTAATAAACTTAAAAAATAAAAACATTTGAAAAATTAATGAACTAAAATTATGCTCATAAAAGAAATTAATAAATAGATGAAGTTTATAAAATAGTTTAAATTATAATTTTAAATGATATACTCACAAATATAAATTATTTATTTTTTAAATATATTAAATTAATAAATCATTTTAAAAAAAATTATTATTGAATATATTCTATTATAAATAATTAATGATTTTTTAATTCTGAATTTTTTTAAAAAAATATTTATAAAATTAAATAAATTTATAACCATAAACTATAATTTGATTTTTATTTCATATAAAAATAAAAAATAACAAAGAATAATATTTATTAATTAATCATATCCATATATTCTTGTATTGTTTTTTATGCACTCTTAAATTATTTTTTTATATTTTTTTATTATAATACACTTATCTCATTATCTTTTAAATCTAAATAAAACCATTTTAAATTTGAAATAAATTTAAATTATTAATTAACTTAATCAATTGTTTTTTAACCAATATTATTATTTCCTAATCTTGCCCAAAAGAACTTTAAATTTTTAAGTTTTTAAATTTAAAAAAGAATAAATTCTGTATCATTATCTAATAAATTATTATTTTTTACATTTATAAAAATTTACTCAAGTTTTTAAGCCTTTTCTATTTCTTCAAAAAGTGTTTAAATTTATAATCTTTATTCAGTAGAATTAGTTTATTCAAAACTTAATGAAATACATTTTAAATTTTTATTGTTATTTTAAATTAATTCACTTATTTTATTTATATTTGAATTATTAATATAATCATTATTATCTAAATATAGTAAAAGAAACTCCAAAAAATGAAATTAGTTCAACTAATTAAAAATTAGTGTATAATCCTCATTAGTTAATTTATTATTTTCGATTCTTAATTATATTCTTTGTGTATTTTTTATCAAATCTAATTATTTTATTAAAATATTTAAATTATTTTTATTATTCAAACTATCTAATTATATATTAAAGCATATATTTTCTTAATTATAACTTTCTAAAATATCTAATATTTCATTTATTTTGCTTATATAATTAACATTATAAATAGAAATGATATATTATATATTATTTTCATAAAAGTATTGACTAGTTTTGCTAACTGCAATATTTTTATAGTCTTTATTTATTTCTTTAGTTTTTTAAGAAAGAATTTATTATAATTAATCTAAAGAGTCAATATTAAATAATTATTTTTCTTAAAAAACTTCGTTTTCTTAATCATTTATTATTTTATCAATATTATCAATATTCTTTTAAATTTAGTTTATTTGTTAATTTAGCAATTATCCATTTAATAAACTATATGAATCATTATTATTCTATTCATATATTAGATTTATAGTATTATTTAATGAATAGCACAATTATTAATATTCTTCATCGTTTTGTTTTTATATATAGGAGAACATTTTATTGTTTAAATTATTAATTTCTTATTCTATTTTGGTACTGGTTTTTATGTATGGATTTTTTTTAAAAAACTTGTTTGTAGATTATGTATTTATTTTATTAATTCTTCGAATTTTTAGTTAATCATTTCATATTATTAAAAATTTTTATCTTTTATTGGTAATAAGCATTATTCAAATTAAAAATTATGTTTGGCTTCTATTTAGTATACGCTATCATTATGAGAACTGTGATAAAGAGGATTTTAAAGAAGACATGTAATACATATAAGCCTATTGCTATTACAGCTTTAGGATATACAAACAGCTTATATTGGCTTTTAATGTTATTAACATAAGAAATTTATTGGTTTTTCCATTTTTATAATAAGATATAAAAATATTTTTTTATAGAAATAATATTTTCTTTATTTAATATATATATTATTTTATTATATTTAAAAGATTTTTTTTTATTAAGAAAAAATTAAAGAATATTAAAAATAATATTTTTTTGGAATTTTATATTATAATAAATAAATATTAAAAAACTTAAAATATTTTTGTAATATTTTATAAATTTAATTAAATTTTATTATTAATTAAAAATTAATAAAAAATTATCATAAATTAAAAAATTAAATATAAATATAAAATACAATATGGATAAATAATATTAAGGAGTTGAATTAAACATAATAATAGGAAAAAATTTCAAATAAAAATTAATATATAAAAACGGAGATGATATTAAATAATTAGCAAATTAATTTTGTCAATAAAACTAATTAAAATGTGAAGCAATAAATTATATAATAGAAGCAATAGAAAAATAAATATAAAATAAAAATTGTATAATAAAAGTATATATATATATATATATATATATATATATATATTTAATATATATTTTTTAAGAAATAATAAACTAATTTAAATTCATCAAATAGATTATATTTATTAGCTTTACAAGATCAAATTAAAAAGAAGTATATTGTATTTTAAATATTAATTTTTTCTATATAATTTTTTTTTTTTTTAATTATTAATTTACAATATTATTAGAATAAAATACATAATATAGAACTTGAAACCTAATAAATATAGGAAGCTACTTTTTAACCTTAGTTAAATTATCATTCTAAGTTAATATCTGTATTTTTTTTTTATATATTAACTTTAATTTTTATTTTTATTTAATAGTAAAACATTGATTTAAATAAAGTCAAAATTAAAATCAAAAGAAAAGTCTGAAAAAATCTAAGATTAATTAAGATAATTATAAAAATAAAAAGAACTCGAAGAATGCTCTTTTTAGCCTATTATAAATTATATGTATTTATATATATTATTTATTCATTTATTTTTTAAATAGGAGTAAATAATTATCATAAAAAAATAAATAAAAAAAGAATGTGTTTGAACATTTATATGATAATTCATATATTAAAAAAGAGAATATAGAATAAATTCAAATTAAAACGTAATATTTATATTAATATAAAATATAATAATTGATTTTAAATAAATTTATTATTAAAAAAAAAAATATAGCAAAATAAAAAACAATAAATCTCTATAATAATTTGAATATAATGAAATATAAAATAATATTATTAACTAATAATAAGATTAACATCAAATAAAATAAATTTTTTAAACTTAATATAATTAAAAAGGGATTAATTTTGGATAGCCCTGTACGTATATTAACACCACCATAACCTAATATAGATCATATGGATTTATAAAAGGAAAGAAATAAAAATAATAATAATAATAAATTAGAGCGCATAATTTAAAGAAATATAGAATTTTGTGAAAAAAGGAAAAAGAATCTATAAAAAGACGAGAAAAAAAGTTAAGTTGAAAAAATTAACAAGAAAAGCTAAAATTTATTAATATTGAAATTAAATAATTTAATTGAATAAATTTTCGAGAAATTAGATTATTAAAAAATAGGGGTTTTGAGTTAAAATAATTTAAATGAAAATTAAATTAATGAAAAATAGAGGAATTTTTTGTAACCCTTACTTTAAAATATTAAAGTAAATGATAAATAATTTAATATTAAAATGTTCAAATGTGAATTTAATTATTTATACTAAAAACTTTCCTATATTGAAAAAAAAGAATTAAATTAATAATTTAAAAATAAATGCATTTATGAATAATAATATAGTTTTTAACCTAAAATTAATTCAAGTTTTTAGTTAAAATAAGATTATTCGTATAATAAAAATCAAATTTGTTGTGAAGTTTGTTAAGAAGCTAATTTAATTATGTAAAAATTATAAGATTTATACAGAAATAAATAATGAAAATTTTATTTATTTATATTTTTTTTTACTACAAAATAAAAAATTAATTTAAAAAAATATATTAAAAATCCAAAAAAATCTAAAAAAAATTTATTTTTATATTTTTAAATTAAAAAAAAAAATTACATATATTTAAATATAAAAAAATAAAATATAACTTATATATATACTTATATATATATATCAAAAAACAAACAAACAAATAAAATGAAAAAGTAGCAATAACAACAGCAAGCAAGCAGTCAATTATAAAGCGAAAACTAAAAACCAGCGGTTCGTTTTGCCGACCAATAAGTAGAAAATCCACCCGAAGAAGACCCAAAATCCAAACTAAACTTGGATCCATAAATTGATATTTAAAAATAACAATATATGCCAGTAATGGAAACTCGTGAATTTTGCCAAAAAATAATGGAAGAAGTTGATATCTAATTTCCTTAATTAATCCAATCCGATTTTAAAATAAAAAGAAAAGACACTGCAAAGTCTTTGAAGTAGCTTTTGGATAAATTGAAAATGTGTTTAGCTTAACTAAATTTGGGTAGTTTTGAGGATAAAGTGAAGAATTATTATTTGACATATAATATTAGTTTATATATGATGGATATTTGCAGGTATTTACGAAGGAGCGTTTTTGGATATTTAAGTGTAGATTTTTTAGCGTTTTGTATTGTTTCTTTAGAAGGGAATATTATTCTAATGTCGTCTAAATATCTAGATTGGAGAGTTAAATTCTATGTAGAATTGGCGTTTACTTATACGGAATGTGGGTCTTTTTAAGCAGCTTGTAAAGTAATAGAGAATGGGCTTTAAAAAGTAATTGAATAGAAAAATTTGGAAGAATTAGATCCTCCTTTACCGGATTTTATATAGAATATGTTTTTAAATAACCTTAGAATTTTGAGAGTTTTGGAAGTGAAGTTTAAATTATAAAACGGGATTTTTAATATTGAAAGCTGGAAAAAGAAAATTGACGAGTATTTTCAGGAAGATTTCGAAGGAAAAAATATGGCCTTTATAGAAAGTCTGAAACTAAATAATGCCAAAATTGGTAATATTATAGATAAAAAGGGTGCTTAAAATTGGAAAAACTAGGCTGTTTAGATTATTTTTGAATAATATTATAAAAGCGATTTGGAACTTTTGAGTAATGGTCTGGAATAAGAAAATGAAAAAATGAGTAAAATTTTAGAATATAGATAGGGAGTTTAGGATGAGGAAGGAAGATTGGAAGCTACTTAAAAAATGAGGGAGTTTCTCGGATAGATGATTAAGGAAAAAGAATGGAAAAAAGCAAGCCTGAAAGTGCCTTTAGAATATCATGTGGAGTTGATTTATTACGCGTATGAGGTTGGGAATGAGTAGGTGGTCAATTAGCTGATTAAATGGGCACTTGTTAGGTGTAAATATAGGAGGATTGAGTGTCCTTTTATTGTAGATGTGGATGTTGTGGCTGATTTTACGCCTTTTCCAAATATTTAGAATGGGTATGAGAAGATTTAGATTGATATCAATGAGAGTAGTTTGAAGGCAGAGCTAAAAAAATTGAGGAATAAATAAAAGGATAATAACCAGAAAAAGGAAGAGAAAAAAGAGGAGAAAAAAGACGATAAAAAAGGAAATAAAAACCAATAATAATAATAATAATAATAATAATAATAATAATAAAATTAATAATAAAATAAATAAAATAATCCATTAGGAGCTACATCTGAAGAATTAGCCTAAATAAATCACACATATGTATATTTGGCAGTAAAAAGAAGTTAAAATCCAGAAAATGCTATATATGGAATTGATGTAGTCTTAATAGATGAGGAAGATTAAAAAAGCCTTTAAAATAAAATCAACGAAGGTTGGAGGGCTATTGCTTTGCCTATAAAAGCGGCTCATTAATAGATTTTTGAGGGGAAAAAAGAGAAAAAATTTGTGCCTTATTTATTATTGAAGCATAGTCGAGAAATGCTCAAAAATGAAGAAGAGAAAAAAAGCTTAGTTAGTGAAATTAAGCCTTTTGTTGGGAAAAGTAAAATAATAAGACCTGATGTTCGATTTACGAAAATAGAGTGTGATTTAAGGCAGAATCGGAAGGAAGATTTTAAAAATGTAAATTCTGAGTATGTTTTTTTGAGTTTTAAAAGCGAAGAATTCTATTTTGTGAATGAGAGAGAAGTATAGATTTTAAACGCTTTTTGGAAGTTGGAATAGTCGCATTTTTCAAATAGTCCGTAAATGAAGGTCAGTACATTGGAAGAGGAGAAAAAAATACACTTGGATATGAATTATGATGTCAGGAAATTATAGGATATTTTTTAGGTAATCAAAAATACATTAGAAGGGCCTTTAGGCGAGTAGTTTTTTGAATAAAAGAAAGATTTTTTAAATAATCTAGTTTTTTTTTTATGGAATAAATATATGTTAGGCTGTCTTTAGTAGATTTAATATGTACATGAGATGAGTTTATGTGAGGAAATATCGAGTAGAGAATATGAGTAATATAAAGAGATTATTGATGAGGCTAAAAGTGTTTTCGTGGAAGGACTTAAAGTTTTTAATTTAATAAATATGAGAAATAATGAAAATTGTGATGTTTTGTGGGTTTGTAAATATAATATTGAATTAGCGAAAATGTTAGAGGAAAAAGAAGAATTTAGATAATGTATTTAAAATTTGAGATGGTGTTTAGGTATTTTAGTTAGTTTTAGAGATTACTTATTTATAAGAGGAGCTGAAAGTCAATATGATGCTTTTTTACCATTCCAATTGAGCTGTAATGGAAGGAAAATACGAAAATGTATCGAAAATATGAAAAAATAATATGTTAGGGCGAAAAACGAGATTAGTGCTTTAGTTAGAAGATAATAAAAAAAAGGAAAACAATTAGATTCAGATGAAGAATAGGAAGAAGAATTTGAATTTTTGGAAGCCAGAAGGGAATTTTTATAAGATGATAATTTAGATAATGAGTTTTTTAAAGAATTAGATAAAAAATAAGGCTTTTCGGAATTAGAGAAAAATATTAATACAATACATGTTGATTTAGTTATTAATTTATTAAGAAATGAACTTAAATAAGGAAAATTAATGTCTAAAGCAAATATTGAAAAAAGTAAATTTGTTAAATCTATAAGAGAAGAAAATTAATATATGACGAAATCATAAGTTCATATTATATATATATATATATATAAAGATATGTATTATTATAATTTTGTAGGCACTTCGTATAAAAAATTTGCCTTTAAATGAGGATTATGGAAATATTCCTGATAAAGAGAAAATAAAAGCAACTTTAATGTAAGGAGAAACAGCAAAAGAAATACGAAAAAATGTAAAATAATTATAAACTACATTATAGAATGCTGGAGAATTACAAACTCCGAAACCCGTTCTTCAAAAATATGAAGTTTTTCTTTTGTAAGAATAAATAAGTAATCCTTATACTTTGGCAATTTTATATATGGTTTTGAGTGGAAACAAGAGCTCTTTTTCTGATTAGAAATATTTATTACAATAGGCTTTTTAATATATTGAAGATTGTGAAAAAATGGAAGAAAAGCATATCGATAAATGTTAAAAAGATGCTATTTATGTACTCTCTACGCTTTTAGATAATAAATTAAATGGACAAAAAAACGAGTAATTTTATCCTTTTTCCCATTTATATATGAAGGAATTTATTAAGAAATATAAAGTACCTAGAAATCCTGTTTTAATTTAAAGAAATAGTAATTAAATTACCTTAAAGTTTCCTCCATTTGCACCTTTAGTAGGCGATATGGAGGCTAAAAAACACCCTGAGAAAACTGAGGTTCAAAGCATGAGTATTTTTGGGAAAATATCAGCCAATGGAGTCAATGTGTCAGAAACATGTACCGATTTGGAAAATACAGGAATCAAATTTGCACCTAACTAGTGTATAGAGGTTAAAAAATTGCTTCAAAATTAAAAATATTGTTTTGCGTGCGCTGGATATGATAAAAGAGGGGAAATCTCAGGCGGAATAGGAGAAACTGGAGAAGATATTATCTGTTTACTACCAATGCCAGTGAATTTATTATGGTGTTATTTGTGTAAAATCAGTTATTAGATAGGAGATTTTGAAAGAGCTGAAAATTGCTTTGATAGAGTTTTGGAGTTTTTTTGCGAAAAGAGCTTTTTTTTAGATAAAAGAGGTTCAGGGGAAAATTAGGTATTTTTCTATATTATTAAATAGGAGGTTTTTTTAAAAGATGTGTCTTATGGGGAAATGTAGGCTTTTATGGAAAGTTTAATTATAAAAGGAAGATGTTTAGGACGAAAAATGGAAGAAGAAAATAAAGAATTTAAAAAAAAATCAGAGAGTGAATGCTAGAAATAGAAAAGAAAGCTTAAAATGATTAATTTCTTTGTTTTGGGACTATAAATTGGGGTTAGTGTGAAAAATTGGGGCATCTGTAAACGTGTTTTGGTTGATATTTATAATAATATTAGGGAATTTATTGAAATGAAGAATGTTTTGGTAGGAGTTTTTCATGTTTTGTTAAAAAGTATTATTCTTGTGTGTGAGATTCCAAAGTAATTTTGGGATAAAAACCTGAGAGTAATCTCTGGAAAATTAACGTTTGAAATTTTGAAGTGTTCTTTATAATTTAATGAGTGTTTAGTAGCTAAAAGAGTACTTTTTTCAGCTTTTACTTAAGGGTTTAATAGAAAATGGTATACTGTGAGTAAAATTATTTAAGTTCCTTTTATTGATGAATCGGAATAAGATTAAAAAAAAATAATAAAGAAAGAAAATAAAAAAGGAAAGGAATAATAATAATAATAATAGTAATAATAACAATAAAATATTGAATAAAAAATGATTCCTAAATTAACCAGAAGAGTTTTTGAGTATTAATCTTAATAATAGTGTTTTTTGGAAGATTTTTTATTAAATTTACCTGAAGAAATCTGCGGGTTTGATTTTGTTTAAAAATTTGTTGAAAAATGGAAAGAAGTAATAGACGGATTTAATGGTTTGGTGGAGAATACATAGGATGAATTGGAAAAATGAAGGAAAATTTAAGTGTTTGGGTTGAATTTGCAGAGTTATTTAAAGATTTACCTTCTGCCTTTTAAAAATTCTTTACTTTCTATAAAGGAAAACCTTATTATATAGAAATGGGATGCAAACTAATAAAAAAATGCTTAGAAAGTTAAAGTTTAGGGTTAAATTAAGTTAATGAATTTATTTAATAGGTTCTATAAAACCCTGATGTTTAAAATTGTAGTTCGTAGAGTTTCTAAATAGGGGAGAGAATAAAAGAGCTGAAAATAAAAGCCTTAGAAAATGATATTGAATGGTACCCTTAAATGCTAAATTTTTTGAAAAATGAAAAAGAAATCAATTAAGGGAAAGGAAACGATACCGCAATTGAGATTTTCGAGAAATTTTTCATTTTAGAAAAAGAACTTAAGATTCTTTTAGAAAAAGAAGAATTTTTTAATTAAAACTGTATTAATTATCCTCCTATTATATAACATAATACATAATAAAGTAATGCATAATTACCACCAGTATCTTAAATAGAGTTTATTTAACCTCATTTAAGATTTCTATATTTAAATTTATAGAATGGTGAGCTTTTAAGTTTATGCGGATAGGTCAATTATATGAATTTTAAAGAAGAAAATTGCCAAAAAAGTAGTGCGAGTAGTGAGTATATATTTTTTTCGATTTAACATATGGATGTTGAGAGTGTAAAAAATATGATTGAAATGGAAAAAGTATTAAAGAAATTCTAATAAGAGAAAAACTCGAAAAAAATATCCAATTTAGAATCTACTTTTTAGTATTTTTCAATGGCCTCTATATATGCGGTAAATTCGAAAAGTTATTAAAGTCTACTCAATATTTCTAAATATATTTATAATATTCTAGTCTATGATATGTTGAATCCTTTTATACATTCTTAATCCAAAATTTGGCTTTATTTGTCTATTATTTCATATTCTTTGATATAAATGTTATAGGAAGTGCATAAAAATAAAGACTCAAGCCCTTTAAAACGAGAAAATTAAGCTAAAAGAAATGTTAGGGTCGAAGAAGTAGATTTATTAAGCCCCCTCCAAAATACAGTTACATTTAAAGAAAATTTAAAATAAGAATAAGAATAGGAATAGGAAGATATTCTACCTTAATTATCCTAAAATCTAACCAAAGAATACTGGTTTTAAGGTAAAAATGAAATGTCGGTTTCTGTAATTGCAAATTTAATCGCCTATACAGTTTAGACATTAATGTTAGAGGAAAAATGGGGCGTTTTAATAGGCATAACGAGGTCTTTTTGTAATGAAATGTAACATTATTATAGTCAGTTTTTACTCCCTTTCCTTATTTATGCTTAAGATTTATTGTTTTAGAAAGCCCATGAGTTAACTTAGAGTACTATTTTGAGATTAGAGGAAAGAACTAGATAATACGAAGAATGGAAAACAAATAATAAACGAAGGAAAACAAGATAAGCTGCACTTACAGGGGAAGTTCCTGAAGAACAAATTTAATTCGAAAAAGATAAGGAAATATTGGAAAAACTAATTGAGCTTTAAGGCGACAACGAGAATTTTATAAAAGGATAATTAAATTTATCTCAAAAAATAATTCAAGAATTACAACGAGATTGCAATTAAGCACTTGAAGAACTTAAAAAATCACGATAATTATTAAGGAAATTTTGCGCAGACGCCCAATTATAAGAAAGTAAGAAAAATAGGAATATTTAGCAATCTTTCGCAACTACAATTTTACATTAATTGAAAAATACGATCAGTATTTTACAAAAAAGATAAGAAAAATATGCCATTACTTAGGCCAATAAAGACCTTGGAGGCTTCTATTTCGCACGGGGAAATTTCCAGGCTATATGTGATGCCTGGAATGAGGCTTTAGATATGATTTTTAAGGCCAATGCTTTAAAAAATTTGAGATAAATAATGCAAAAATATAATGATAATATGGCTTAGTAATTAGGGATATAATCTATGGTTATTGGGGCTAATATTTTAAGCAATTTATAATATATTATCTACCATTCGAATTTAAAAATGGAACGGGAGTGTTCCATATTAGGTTCTTTTATGATTTTCTCCATATTTAAAGTTAATTTGGAACATCCTTAGAATTTATATTATTATAACAATTACCGGGTATAGGAAATTATGCAAAATGAAAATGTTTTTGGAGATTCATATATATTAGACCCTGTTGAGAGTCTTGTTTGTATAGAAAGACTGGCTTGGAATTTAATTGACGAGGAATTTTTTATTTAAAGCTTGCCGTGTATTTGCTTGGTTGAATATATTGCAGTAGATGTGGTTTTTAGTAACTTTTTTTCATTCAGAAGTAAGATTATGAAGGGGATTGCGCTGGCTTTTTTAGGGGATTTAAAGGGAAGTATTTCATGTTTGTAAAAAGTTTTAAATGAAAAAGATCTTCCGAATTTATGGGTTAAGTAAAGCGAGTTTTTTAAAAGGAAAAATGGAGTTTTTTGGGAAGGAGATTTGTAATATTAAAATAATTAAGGACCGCTTTTTTAATAAAATAAAGAAATTTTAGACTTATTGGTTTCCAAGTTTGAAATTGAGAAGAGTTTTGGCAAAAATTATGGACAATTAAATGTCAATTTATTGATTTTTTGGAAGGCTTTAATTGTTATTATCGCTTTTGAGTGCGAAAATGCAGATTAGAATGATTAAAATGATATTAGGTGTAATTATTTGGTAAAATGCGATGATTTTCTGAAAATTTTATTGAAAAAATTAAGCTTTGAAGAAGAATTAGGTTGTATAGAAGAAGAAATTAGATTAATTTAGGAAAAAATTACTTAATAAATTCGTGTCGAAGAATTATAAAAAAAACTTGAAAACCTTTAAAATGATAAAACTTAACTTTTTTTATAAAAAGGAATATCTGATTAAATATAAATGGTATATATAATTATATATATATATTTTTATAGCTTTATTTTTTTATATGTAGTAGGAATATTTTTATAATAGAGAAGAGTTATTTAATTATAGTTAAAAAAGAGATGAAAGGTTAAAAATGATTTGCCGAACTAGATTTTTAAGGGCAAGAATATATTCTTAAATGTAATTATTTTAGAAAAGTTTCCATGTTTTATTCCATGCAATATAAAATATAAATTAATACGTCTCTGAATATAGACTAGTTGAATAAGGAGAAGAACCGGAAAATACTTAAATTGAATAATTAAAATAATAGGAAGAATTAGTAATAGGTGGAGGCTAAAATAAAGGAAAATAAGCTAAAAAAGAAGATAAAGCCCTTCCTAAAGATAATTAAAATTAAAAAGAATCTAAGAAACAAGCTAAAGGGGGGTAAGAACTAAAAACAGACGAAAATTATTTCGAGAAAAGGAAAATTGAACTCGAGGAAATGCAAAAAATAGCTTTTTAAAATGCCCAATAATGTAAATTTAGAAATCATTTAAGCGCTTTTTGGTTCATTAAATTAAGATGCGAACTTTGTATTATTTTATATAATGAAAATAGGCTTGATGATGCTTTATAATATATACAAAGTACTATTTTAGATTGCTAAAAGGTACAAGATGTGTATTTTTAGGGAATTTTATAATAATATGAGGCTCGTATTTATTTAAAAATGGGGAAATATGAAGAAAGTGTTTAAAAAATAGAGAAAAATTAAATTTTTATGAAATAAAATTGTATTGAAAATATAATTGAAAATGCAAGATTTTTAGCAGATTTTTCTGAAGTTTTTTTCGAGAGAAAAAAATAAGAAAAAGCCTATATTTTTATATAGAATTCTTTGGAAATTTTAGATAGTTTTTTGAAGGAAATTTGCTTTGATTTTTAACTTTAAAATGAAAATGAAAAAGCAGCAAAAGAAAGTATTTTAGTCTGTAATGAATTATAATTAGGGCAGGAAATTGAAGCAGAGTTATTAAAAAAACAAGAGAAAGAAACTATTAATAATAAAGATGCAAAAGGAGTAAAAAAAGAAGCTAAAAAAGGTAAAAATGATGATTCTAAAAACAATAAAAAAGGAAAAAAAGATGAACTTCAAGTATAAGAAATGAAAGTAAAAAATTATATAAATATATAGATAAACATAAAAATTGTATTTACATATATTACTTTTTAGGTCGAAAGCTTAAATTAATTTTAGATAAATGATTTTTCTGAAGAAAAGAAATTTACATATAATTAAGTTGATATTGAAAAAATTAATAATAAAAAAGATTCCTTTAATAGTTATAATTCAAAAATTATTTAATTATATTTGAAAGTATCTCTTAGATATGTTTATTATTACCTTACATTGAACTATAAGAAATAAGATTAAGAGGATATATAGAAATTACTTTAAAAATTAGAAAAAATAATTGAGTTAGTCATTCCTTATATGGTTCCTGTTTCTTTGAAAATGGATTTTTATTACTTATATGGACTTTTTTATAAATTTTAGTTTGAAAATGAGATTATTTTAATATAAAATAAATATATTAAGATATATGAAGATGGAAAAAAAAACAAAGATGAGGACTTAAGGGAAAAAGTGAAGAAATATAGAAAAATAGCTCTAAAAAAACCCTTCTAAGACCTTTCAAGGAATAAATATTTAATCGAAATTCCTTGTTTTTCGAAATTTTTGAAGTAAAAATATCTACCGTTGCTTTAAAATGGACAAAAATACCTAGAATAAGCAATTTCTTTAATTTAAAAAGGTGAAGTATGCCTTTTTTTTGAAAATTCGAGAAAATTAGAAGACCTTTTCATTTTGCATTCTGAAATATTGCTTTTAAAAAGAGAATATAGACCGAGAGTAGGAAATTATAAGGTAATATTATTATATATATTAAAATTAATAATTTTAAAAATAGCATTTGAATATAAAAGACATAAAATAAAATACATAAGAAATAGAATAAATATTAGAAAATCAAATAAAAAATAATTAATTAGAATGTATAAAATTAGAATAAGAAGCTTAAAAAAATATAAAATATGCAATTCAAATTACTAAATGTAAATAAAATTTAAAAGAAAACTTTCCTGAAGATGCTAAAAATTAACTTTAAAATATACAAAATTTGCCTCTTGATATTTATTTCGATATAATAGAATCAGATTATATTTATAAAAAAGTACATATTTTAATTAAATGTTAATTATAATTTTTATATTTATATATATTATTAGAATTATAATCCTATATTATTTGATGAAAGTAAAAGAAAGTTTGGTGTTAATAGTATTGATTTACTACTTTATATAAATAAACTAAATAACGAAGCTTAATTCTTTACTTTCTCTAGTATGTATCTTTAAAATAAAATCACTAAAGTAATATAATGTATATTATATTTAATATCATTTTATATTTAAAGACACATAAATATCTTAAAAGTTAATTTCCGAATTATAATATTAATTATACAGTCTAATCAAATATTGATGCTTCTCCTATTGAAATAGGTATTTTTTTTTGTTATTTTTTTTGTTATTTATTTTTCTCTTTTAGGAAACATTATTATTAAAAATCACTATTGTTAATTTAATAATTCTAATAAGTTTATATATATATTAGGTTCTTTAGATAAAACTAAATTAACAGCAACTGAAATAAATTAAGAAGAAATTAATAAAATAATATTAAATGAGGAAAAAGATTCTATATATGGAAATGTAAAGAAATTAAATTAATATATACAATTATATTTAAAATTTATATATTAGATTTTTATTAATTCTGAAGATCTTAATGATTTATTATAATAATGCCTAGATTTAAAATCAAATATGTAAGAATCTGATAAAAAAACTCCTTTAGTAAAAGAAAGAGACTATAAATATCATAAAATGAATTTTAGAAACATAATAGCATAATTCGGAGCTTTTTTTTTCTAAAAAGAATGCGAAAAAGATTAAAAAAATAACTTTAAAAAGGGTGAAAAAGAAATCGATTATCTTGATAAATATGTGGTTTTTGTACCTTATCTAAATATAGAAAATATCCAAATATTTATAGACATTTTTAGTAATTTAGGATTATAAATTAAAAACATGAATATTCTAGCTATATTACGTTATTTCCATCATAATAAATATAAATGAAAACGAAACAATAAAAGCACACACATATATATATATTTATAAAATAAAAAAATAAAACTTTTCAAATAAAAATATTTATATATTTTATATAATTTAAAATCAATTATTTTTATTTACCATCAAAATTCTTCCTTCAACAACCGGATGTATCGAAATATATTTATTATCTTCAAAATTTTTAATTTCCTTAACTAATCCTGACTCATCAATTTTTTCCCATCTAGTTTATCTTCTTTAAAGCTATTTGAAATCATTAATATTAGTATTCGAAATTTAATTTGATGAAATACTAGTTTATCTTATCAAAGGAAGACTCATTAATCTATTATATTTCCGATTTTCATTAAAATTTAGTTAAGAAAATTCAGTAAAACTCGAAATATTAGTAGTCTTGCTTTTTTCTTCTAGACTTTTAAAAAGCCCAATCATAATTTATAAATGAGGAAGTGCATTCATATAATCAATAATAAAATTACAATCCTAAAACATATCATACCCATCTTTTCCTAAATACATGAACCATTTAATTGCTAAACTATAAATTTTATCAACTTAAATTTTCTCTTTTCCAATAAAAATACTATCTAAATCAACCCTCTAAAAAGGCTATTTTTACCCATCAAACTCAAATTTAATTCCTGAAACTAAAGGGAACCTTCCTTCGAAACTAGGCCATTTAGAAACTCCATTTTCTAAAGCCTAAATTAGTTTTAAACCGCTACATTTAACCACTACAATCAAGTCTGGAAAGGGTAAAGCTTTTTAAATCATCGAAAAAGTAATGTCTCCTTTCGGATAAATACAATCTGATCTAATAGTCCCTGAATTAATGATACAGACATCAGATTAAACTTCATTTCTTAATACATCTACATAGAAATTACCAAAATTAGTCTCCTGAGTCCTTATTTATTTAAATCTGGTATCTAAATCTACATTTGTATGTCCTATTATTTAGTTATTGTATTATTCTTATTATTATATATAGAAATCAACTATTTTCTGAACTTCATCGTCTTTTTCAATTTTTTTTGTGACTTAAAAAGTCTCTATAACGCATTTTAGTTTATTTTATTTCAGATAAAATGTATTTTATATATTATTATTTTAAATATCTTTTGGTTTATAGGTAATATCTATTATACTATATTCTTTAAAATCAGAACCGCTTTTTTATATTAAGCAATTATTTATTATTTCTGAAATTACTATATGGTCATGTCCACCTAAAATGATGTCTATATCATCTACTTAAGCTGCTAATATACGATCATTAGGCATTCTCATGTGTGTTATAGCCACTACTATGTCACATTATTACTCTTTCTTCAACATATGGGCCATTTTTTTCCCACAAGATACAAAATCTTCATATTATAGTATACTAATGTCTATTTCAGTTATTGTATTTAACCATTCTTCCTCTGCAAGACCCATAAACCCTACTTTAATTCCTTACATATCAATTATAGAATATAATTGGTTATCTGCGAGTATATTCTGAGTCCTAGTATCATATATATTACTGCATAACCATGGGAAATTACATTTTTTAAACAATTATTCTACTTATTGTAAATTATAATCAAAATCATGATTGCCAACACAAGCAATATCGATTTAACAAGCATTTATAGGTTCAATCATTTATTCACCTTTATAAATAATTGAAAGAGGAGATGGAGAAAATAAGTCACCGGAAAATATTATAAGACTTTTATTTGGATTTTCCTATTTGAATTTTTTACATATAGTTGCAAAACGGGCAGAGCCACCTACTGGTTCTTAATTAAAACCCTCTATTTCATATACGTCGTTAAAATGAAGAATTTTAAATGATATTTCTTCTTTTTACATATTATTTATTATTTTTTTAAACAAAAGATTAGATGATCAATAGACTATTAATTAATTTATTAATATATATAGATAGAAAAATAAGAAAATATGATTTAAACTTAAAGTTAATTTTTTAAAAAAATATTTAACTATATTTATATTTTAAATTAAATATATATTAATAATATATTTATATTTAATTTATTAAAAATAAATAAATTTTATTATAAATTATCTTTATGGGAAGTTAATGATTTATATAAAAAATTGAATATTTTAAAATAGTTAAATTTCAAATAATCGATCGATATATTTATTAAAAGAATATTTAGTAATTCTTTTATACATATTTCTTATAAATATTATTCCATAACTAATTAATAAATTAATTATAACTTTTATTAAATTTTTAAAAATAAACTAACTTATTTAAAAAAAAAAAACTAATATAAATAATACTTATATATAAATTAATTATTTTTAAAAAATATATTTTTTTTTAAAAAAAATATTTTTTACAAAATATATTATTTTTTTAAGAATATAATGATATCTAAATTAATCATTAAAAAATAGGTTAAATAAATTTTATTTACAAATTAATATAAATAAAAAAATTAAAAGTTTAAACATTATATAATTTTATTTTTGATTTAAATACTCAAAAATATATTGAATATTATTATTGGATTAAAATATTTCCAAATCTCAATTTGTATAAAAAAGAAATAAAAAAAATTTAAAATTAAATATAAAATTATAAATATAAAAATAAAAATATTTAATTTATTAAAATTTTAAAATGTTGAAATTTTATTATTATATATAAAAAAATATAAATCATGTTTCAAAAGTTTAGAAATATTTGTTAAATTATAAAATAAATAAATATATTTTATATTATATTATCTTTTTTTATTATTATTATTATATTATTATTATTTTATTATATTTTTATATTAATTTTTTTTTTTTTATTTTTTTTTATATATTTAATTTATTTTTAATATATAATATATAATTTTTGTTTTTTCAATAATATTATTAATTATATATAATTATTTAATTTAATATATTTTCTATTTTATTTTTATATTGCATTTCATAATTTTTTATTATTATTAAAATAAAATTTATTTAACATTTTAATTTTTTTTTATTTATACATATCTTCTAAAATTTTTAATTACTTAAAACTTCGTAATTTTAAATCTTTGTAGTTTTGTATAATTAAATATTTTTTAGAAAAAATTCATAATTATTATTTTACTATGTTATTTATTAATTAACCATACCCTTATAAGATTTAATTTATTATAAGTCTTTCTAATTATAAATAAAAATTATTTTTTTAAAATAGAAAATAACATTTGAAATTTTAATGTTAATATCTTTTTTCTTAGATAAAAAGTGTTTATATTTTAAAATAAAAAATTATTTTATTTTTATATTTTGATAAATTTTATATATATATTATTTTATTTAATTAAATATAAATTGTTGATTCCTTCTTAACTTTAAAAATATTTAGATATTAAATATTTTTATACAAAAGATTATTTCTTAATATTAAACCATATTATCTTCCAATAAATTTTTCTTCTTTTTTTAATAATTTTAATAAAAATTTAATTATATACATTTTTTTTATTATCATAATTATTAGTTTAAATAAACATTATTATAACTATTTATATTCAAATAAATATTTGTTTTTTTAAAGTTTTTTATCTTTTTTTATTTATTAATAAACAAATAAAACAAATAAAAAGTATAATAAAAATACAGTTTTTTAAAAAATTTATTATATACATTATAGATTCATTTGTAAATTGATAAAAATATTTTATATAAGTAAATTATAATGTGAAAATCAAGAAAAAATCTTTAAAAATTACTTAAAAAAATATTTTTTTGACAAAAAACATTAATGAAAATTACTTTTTTAGATTTTTAAAATCTAAAATGAACAAAAAAAATAGCTAAATCTTTTTTAAATAAAATAAAAATTAAATATCTTTAAAATTTATATTTTTAATATTTTTATTAAAATTTTATGAAGTTAAAAGAAAGTTTAAAAATAAAATACACATTATTTTTTTATAAGTAAATAAAAATAAAAATTTTATTTAAATATTAATATAAATTAAATATTTTATATACGAAAAAATTTTAAATGATATAGTTAAAATTATTACATAATGTAATAATACGTCAAAATATTTTATATAAAACAAAACAAATTATACAATATTAATTTTTTTAATAAAATTATAAAATTTTTAAAAAAAATTAACAACAAAGAAATTAAAAAACCAATTTCTTAAAAGTCTTATTTTTTTTTTAAAAAAAAAAAAAAAAAATTTAAAACTATATATTCATTAATATTCAAACTTCTAATTTTATATTTAAAAAAAATATGTTCGATTTTTTATTTTTTTGAATTAAATAACATTATTTAATTTATTTAAAAATATTATTAATATTTAAAATATATTAATAATTAATTTTAATGTTATCTGAAAAAAGATAATCATATGCAAGTGATAAATCGAATTATCAAAATAAAAAAAAGTTAACAAAGCCTACATTTTTAAGTTTCAAAAAAAAGGATTCAATTTAAAAGAAAGTTTATTTAAGAAATAGAAATTAAACAAAATTTTCCATAAAATAATTGACAATGATATAAAGGGAATATAAAAGATCTGTTATGATGGCACATAAACTTGATAAAAAATAGCTTTTAATAAAAGCATATAGACATTTAAGAGATGCTATTTTATATAGGAACGTAAGATATGATTTAGATGAACTTGATAATAAAAAAAAATTGTATTTATTTATATATAGACTGTAAAATTCAAATTAGTGGAACGATTTTCTTTTGACTTTAAGTTGGATTTATATTTTATTAACTTTTTTGGAACCTGCAAACAGATATGATAGTAATTAAAATTATGATAATTTTTGTACAGTACTTATTTTAGAAATTTTTATTATTACCATATAAATGGCAGATTTTATTATGGAAATCACATAAAGATATTCATAAATTAATAAAAATAATAATGCTTTTAAAGTTCTTCTTTTGAAAAAAAAGACTTTTTTTAGAAGTATGTTCTTTCTAATTATATCAATTGATATTCTTTATTTTTCCTTTTCTTTTCCTTATAATACTTTTAGATTTGGAAGGCTTGTGCGTCCTCTTTAACTAACAATTTATTCTAAGTCTGTTAGAAGAGATTTTTAAGGAATAGCTTAAACTGCAATAAATTTAGTTGTTGTTTTTTTATTTTACTTAGCTGTTATTTTAATTTGGGCTAGTTTAGGAAATACTTTAATTGGTATTTAATATTTTTTAATAAATTATTATTATTTTTAATAAAAAGAATAAAATATATATTTTGATAATTTTCTTCTGAGCCTTAATAATTTATATATTGTTACTTCTTTTGATTTATGGCCAGAGATTATGCTTGATATTCTTAATAATTCTAAATATTATTTACTATATTTCGTACCTTACATATGTACATATTTATTCATATAAAAATATTTATATTATATAAATTTATTTTATTTTATTAATTTATTTTCATAATAAGTAACATTCCTATTTTTATTGTAACATGTACATGTAGCTGTTGTATATGATGGTTTTAAAAAATATAGATAGCATTTGTTTATAAGTAAATAATTATATATTTAAATATAAAAAATAAAAAAAACTTTTAAAATAAAAAGCTGATAGAATAAAAAGAAGAGTAGCTTTATTAAATTGCTTTTAATGTTTGATAGAAAATTATGATGATGACTAAAACATTTCCAAAGATAAATTTATTGAGTTTTTCACATTTGTTTTTGCTAAAGTAAACTTAGATTCTGAAGCCCCAAAAATAGCATAGAATTTTTATGAAAAAATAGATAATAATTTTAATCATAGTGTATCAATAGATTAATTTTTTAATATTATAGAAACCATGGAATAAAATAGATAATTTAGTTTATAAAAGATAAAGCCATGGCCTAAATGGGTTAAACTTAGAAAAAGTTTAAGTAAAAATTTAATTTAAAAAAAATTATAGATAATAAGTATTTTTAAATATTTATGATGTTTTTAACTATACTTAGTTGTATTTTTATTATTACATAAATGATTAATAATAATGAGTAAGTATAAAATAATTTAGATATAGCAGATAATGTATTGCTAATATTTTTTATATAGGAATGTATTCTTAAAATAATTGTTTATGGTTTATAGGAATATTTTTTTGATTCTTGGAATAAACTTGATTTCTTTATTGTAGCATCTCAAGTAGAAAAATTTATATATATATATACTTATTCATATTATATAAAAATTTATATATTATATATTTTTAAAAAAGTTAATTTGTTAATTTACTTTCTATACATTCATAGATAGTAATTTTTTGAAGTAATTTTAATTTGGTAGATTTATTAAAATAGCTAGAATATAAAAAGTTTTTAGGATTTTCAGAGTTTTTCGTACTATAAAGATTTTAAATGCATTATTTGAAGTTTTGCATATAGTTAGTAAAGTGAAATAACTATTTTATAAAATAATAATTTGCATACCTATAATACTTAAATTACTAGTTATTTAATTAATTATTTATTATATTTACTGTGTGATTGGTCTTGAATTATTTACTACTTTACCTCCTGCAAAATATCAACCTACTAAATATGGTCTTAATATGTGTTCTGATTAATAAATTTCTGAAAATAAAATTAATGATTCCTCTAAATGTAATTATGCAGATTTTAATACTTTAGAAGGAGCTTTTTTAGTTCTTTTATAAGTAACAGTAGCTTCTGAATGGGGAAGCATCGTTTATGATTATGGATATAAATTCGATAATTTATTTTTAAGCATTTTATATTTTAATAGTTTTCAATTTATTTCTATTTTTATGTTGGCTCTTATGGGAGGTATTATTTGGGAAGTATTTATTGTTATTGATATGGTTATTGATAATTAATAAATAATTGAAGAAGAATAAGAAATGAACTAAAACATAAGTGAATAATAATAAAAATTATTAAATAATATAGATTTAGAGAAAGATTATGATTAGTTTGTAGAAATTATATATAATTTAGCTAATATAGGAGATAAATTTGTATCAAAAGATAAGGCTAAAGATATAAAATTAGATGAAAACGTTTTACTTAAATAAAGGTTTTAGAAAATTTTAGACAAACATAATTATGATTAGGATTATAGAAATAAAAAATTAAATATTAATTTTTTAAAAGATGTTATGGACATTTGTAAATAAATGAAATTAAGTAACAGGGAAAAAGCTTAGGCTATTTTAAAATAAGAAAATGCCTTATACATGAAAGATGATTTTATTTATTTTTTTGAAGATTAAAATTACAAAAAAATACGAATTAGCTAATATTAAACTAATGAATAAAGAAAAAATTATTCAATAGAAGGTATTTATATTTTATTTTATTTTTATAAAAATAAAAAAAGTTATAAAATAATTAAAAAAATAACTTGAAAATAAAATTGAAACTAATATATAACTAAAAAATTATTCTAAAAGAAATACTTCTAAATTTAATTCTCCTTCAAATTAAAAAAAAGATATTATTTTAGAAATCGAATAGTAAAATTAAAATATTGATAATTTTGACAATTTTGATATTATTTCATAAAATTCTTAAAGAAAAAAAATAAACATAGTTAATTCGATATCTAATTCTAAATTAAAAACTAAAGATATATATTTATAATAACCATATACTTAATAATAAGCTATTTCGCCATAAAAAATTAATAATACTTATTATAATGACCATAACTATAGCATTGAAACTAAAAAAAGTTCAGAATTAAACAATAGTCCCAAAATATATAAAAAAAAAACTGGAAATAAAATTGTTTAGAGTAAAAGTAAAACAAAAAAAAGCGAGGAGTTAAAAAATAGTCCAAGAAAACAAAAAAAAATATTAAAAATAAGATTTTTAGCAGTCAAAAAGATATAGTTAGTTATATAAATTCTTGTATAAATAAAAATTAAGAATTTATAAACTTATCTTTTAAAGAATTATTATTATATTATTATAAAATGAATTTAGTAGATTTTAATTAAAAATAAAACTAAGATTAATTAAATAATTACGTACATGATAATTATTAAAATTAAAAAAATATTTAAAATTATTGTTATAAAATAAAAAATGATTTAATGTAAAAATAAAATGAAATTCAATAAATTAAAATAATTGATTCGAATTCTATCATTAATGTTGCTATTCTATAATCAGTAGATATTAAATGTATCCAAAATATGGAATATAAATATTTTAATAAAATTTATGACTAAAGTTTTAATTAAGTTGCTGATTCCTATATTTAATATTTATGGACTTAATAATCTAAACTACTCTTTCATTTTGATAATTTATATAAGTAAATATTTTTATTTCATTTAATAAATTTATAAAATAAAAAAAGATATGATTATATGCCTATTTAACAATTCGTTTAATTATATTGTAGTATAGAATTATAAATATCTGCATTAATGATGAATAAATATTGTTCTTTTAAAATTATATATCAAAATGAGAATAATAATTGGTTTACTTTAAATTATATAAATGAAAGTTTTTGCTTATAAAATTTAAGTGAAGGAATATGGGATATGTTCAATGATTTATTTGAGAAGAAATATGATATATATGCCCATAAGAATATTTTTTAATAAGATTTAAATTTTAGATATTTAAATGATAAAATAAAATAATTTTTTAATAATTGTTAAGAACTTTCTAATAATTATCATCTTTAATAATTAAATATTGAAGAATGTGAATTCAGTACAACTATTTATATTCCATTTGAGAATTCATGCAAGGAGAAAATATATGAAAGTGTGAAAAAAATAATTTGTGAATGTGAAAAGGATAAATCTTTAAATAAATATTATGAGAATTACATTACTAATGTTTTGAATGGAATATGTATCATCTAACTTTTTGATAAAAATGAAGAAAATTAAGGCAACTTTTCTATTAATTTTGATAAGTTTAATCTTAATTAAGCTATTTTAGAAGAAAGAATATCAAAATAGTAATAATATAATGCAACCCTTAATTATAATTAAACTATTGAATTTATTAAGGATCTTAAAAATAGTATTAGAAATAATAATGACAATATATTTAAAAAAATAATGTTATTACTATTCTATAAGAAATATAATTGCTAAAATAATTTTGAAAAAGAAAGATAAAACAACCATTAAAAATAATATGTTATTAAAGAAAATTAATTATAATAAGATTTGTTAAAAAAATCATAAAATATTAATTAAATATAATCAATGAATCCATTAATATATTCTCATAAAGCTCAATGAATTTTTTTTTTTTTAATATAAATTATAAATAAAAACTAATTATAAATTAAATTTATTTTCAAAAATAAAATTATTGATTTTTTATTTTATATTGGATAATTGGATAAAACAATGAAAAACTTTATTTAATCATAAAAAATATATGTAAAAAAATTAATATTAAAATAATATTATAATGCCAATAAATATATTTAAAATATTCAAATTTATATAAGATTAATTTTTGATTTTTAAATAATATTTTTGAATAATAATAAACAATTAAAAAAAATATTAATTTTATATTTCTTATATTATTTATAGTGTTTTCGGGCCTTTTAATTTCTTTTATGAAGCTTTTAATATTTACAATTACTTTGAATTTTATTGATTATTTATTACTTTAGTTAAATTAGTTTTTTAAGGAATTTTTCTTATAATTATAAAAAAAAAAACTAAATAATATATAATTTAATGATTCTATGATTGTCCAAAAATATATAATATATTTATATTAATTTTATTTATAAGTAAGCTTGTTTGATAGAATTTTTTATCGAAGTTAATTTTTTATATACATTTAGATAATTTTCTAAATACATTTTGTTAATTTTTAAGAGTGAATTTTTTTTACTTAAATTACTTTCTTTTTATCAATTAATTAAGGTTTTAATTTTATTTAATCAAACTTTTTCAGAAAAGATACTTATAATAAATTAATTACAGGAAAAATAAATTTGTAATATTATAGAGTTATACAAAGTTTATTTAGTTTTTTATATTGTCTCGTCATCAAATTCAATTTATTTAAGATAAAAAATTTAATTAAAGAAGAAATAAACATTCTATTTTTATTTACTTATAATATATTACTAATAATATTTAAAATTATATACTTAAAGTCATATTTTCATATACTTTTATATTAAAATGTTTTTATTAAATTTGTATAAATTTTTAATATTATTCTGTAGAAGGTGGAAAATATATATTTGAATAATTTAAATAAGTTTAAAAAAAAAATACATTCAATAGTATATTTAATTTAAGGAAAATTTCAAATATAATAAAAGGTGTATAAATTAATAAATAATTCAAGTGTACAAATCATAAAATTACTAAGTAATATAAAGTAAAACAAAAGAGAATATTAAATAATAAGTAATTTTAAAGTTAAGAAGTATTATGAATATTTATAAATAATATAAAAAAAAAGCTTATGAAAATTAGAAATATAATTTTTGATTGAGACATATATATAAATATATTTATTTATATTTAAATAAAAATAAAGATAAATAATAAATTTTAATATAAAATAAAGTATATATAAGAAAAAATAAAATAAAAAAAATAATAAATATATATTATTAAAATACTATTTTATATATATTTATCAAAAATATTGTATTAATCTATATTTATTTAAATTATATCTATTAAAAAAAACTATTATTTAATATAATACATATTATTATTATTAAAAACAAATAAAAACTAAAAATAATTAAATAAATAGTATCATATATAATATATTTTTATTAAAATTTCAAAAACAAATAAAAGTAAAAAAAAATATATAAAATAAAATAATATATATATATATATATATATAAATATATATACTTAGATATATTATATAAAATATAATTACATTTTTAAGATTAAAAATATTAATAAATGTATATATTTAATACTTATTATTTTTAAAAAGATACAAAATGCATTTAATTTTCATTAATATTTATTAACATTATTATTATTTTAATTATTTAAATAAAAATTTTTATATTATACTTAATTTTTTTCTTAATTTTCATTATTTTCTGTATTTTTTTATTATAATTATATTTTCTCTTATATTTTTTCTATTTATTACTCTTAAATTTTTTCATTTTTTTATTCTAATTATTATAAATTTAATTATTCTTTTAATTATATTTCCAATTATTCTTATTATTATTATTTTTATTAATTATTACCTTCATTCAATTTTTATTAATTTACATCTTATTCAACTGATTATTCTTATTCAACTGATTATTCTTATTCTTATTCTTATTCTTATTCTTATTCTTATTCTTATTCTTATTCTTATTCTTATACTTATTCTTATTCTTATTCTTATTCTTATACTTATTCTTATTCTTATTCTTATTCTTATTCTTATTCTTATTCTTATTCTTATTCTTATTCTTATTCTTATTCTTATTCTTATTCTTATTCTTATTCTTATTCTTATTCTTATTCTTATTCTTATTCTTATTCTTATTCTTATTCTTATTATTATTATTATTATTATTATTATTATTATTATTATTAAATTAGCATTTATTGCATTAAATTTTCTTCTAAAATTCTTTTTTATTATTTCATTATTTCTATCTAGTTTTTATTATAATTAAGTTTCTCCTCTAATTCTTATAAAGTATTCTTTTATGCTTCTACAATATCCTAAGCCCTCTATTACATTTAATTTAATTATTACATTTTATGTAACCCTACACTCATTAAAGAATGCAGAATTATATCGAATTTAGTACCTTAATCCAAAAAAACTCTCGTTTTACCCCCTTTCTTTTTAAAACGAAATCAGGTTCGTCTTCCCCAACTTACTTTTAGACATTAAAGACTGATTTTAATAGTTTTGATACATCACTTTCTTCCTCATCTTCCTCTTTTTGCCCTTATTTTTAAACTAAAGTAGCTTCTTCACCATCCGAATCTTCTGAAATAACTCTTCCTTCGACTATTTTGACATTTCTGAGTAATAAGATTTTATATGCACCTTCCAAAAAACCTTTGTTTTCAGGCCATTCTTTAGAAATTTTATCTAATCTTAATTTAGCTTACTAAATATAAACTTAAGCTATTTAAATATAATTTTTAATCAAACTAAATATATATAATTATTTCAAATACAAAACCATTAAAAGTGAATTTTTTTCTTCTTAGTTATTATAAGAAGAAGTTTGCAAATCATTATCGTTAAGGAAATTTTTTTTGAATTTTTTTAAATCTTCTGAAGATGAGAAATTAAAGGAAACCTCAAAAATTCTATTCATATATTCATTTAAGTTTATATTTACATCGGTTTTTATTAATTCATAGTCTTTTTCAGAAAAATCACTTATTTAATATATTTCTTCGAATTTATGAATATTAAGGAACTTTAATATGCAAAAAATTATCTTCTTTTCTTTAAAAGATAATTAGTTATCAAGGCATTTCTTCTCGAAGTCTCCCCAGTTTATTATTTCGATGATAGCCTTTATTAATATTGCCAGTCTAGACCTAAAAGGATTCCTTATATGAACTAATTTAAACTGATTTTCGATATCTTTCACTAAATCAGCAGCCATTAATTACTCGTACATTTCTCTTTTAAATGTATTATGCCACACTTCTCTTATCATATGTCTCCATTCAAGACAAACGGCTCGTATTTTAAATAACTCGTAGGAAGATAAACATGGGAATATATAATCCTGAAATATAAAATGAGGAACTTTAGAACAATATGAAGATGTATTGTATCTGATATTTTCACAGGATTTTACTACTACTGTGTAGTTTTAGTTCATGTCAAAAGTTATGGAATTATCAATCGGGTCGTATTTTTTAAATAGTTTTAAATCTACAAATTTCATTGAAAGGATGTTACTAATATCTTATATAGTCATAAATTATTAAGGCATTTAATTAATTAATTTGTTTTTATCATCTTCTTCTTGATTATTTTTATATTCTTCATATTATTAACCTATTATATTCTCTTCTTCTAATTATTATTATTATTATTATTATTATTATTATTATTATTATTATTATTATTATATTTATGTTTATTAATATATGTTTTGATTATTTTCCTACTACTAAATATCCGATTCTTATATAAATTTTATATTTTCTTATTATAATTATATATTTTCTTATTATTATTATTTATTTTCTTATAATTATTAATTATTATCTTATTATTGCATATTTATTTCTTATTATTTTTAAATATTTTCTCTCTATTATTATGATTTTTTTTAAATATTTTCATCTTAATATTATTATTCTGTCTATGTATTTTCATCTTATTAAATTTAAAATTATTTTGGTTATTAAAACATTGCATTTTATTTATTATTTTCGCATTAACAAGATGTTTCTTATTTAGTGTTTTTTTTAATGTAAACTTCTTTATTTTTGCTTTTCAATATACTCATTATTTTTTCTAGATTATTCATTTGTTTCGAAGGCATTTTTTATTAATAAATTTCTAAAATAAAGCTAATTTTTTTTTATTGACTTTCTATTTTTTTCTTTAATATTTTTTCAACTTATTATTCTATTTTTTAATTAATCTCATTATTTTCTTAATCTATTCTCAAATTTATATTATCAAATATATCTTCTTCTTCTAAACATAATAAATCACAAATTCCTTACAAACTTTCTTCATGTAAAAAAGCGTCGTTATTTATTAAATTTATCGCAGATTAAAATTATGTAAGATTAAATTATTATTATTATATAGGATTTTATTATTATTGTTATATTTCTTCATTATTATTTTAAATGTAATTTATTTCTTGTACTTAGTGAGAGTCATTTAATTCTTGTTCATCAATTTGGAAAGAATCTTATCTGTTATTTTGATTATTATCGTTTTAGTTATCGTTTTGTTCCATTTGTAATGTATAAATTATATGAAAAAGTATTTAGTATTATTATTATTTTAGTTTTAATTAAATACTAATATATATTTTAATTTTTTTTTTAAATAATTTATACAAAATATTTAAATATTTTATCAAAAAAAATAAAATTTTCTTTCAAATATATATATATATATATATTTAATAATTTTATTTTTAAAACATAAATAATAATTTTTAATATACTTTTATTATATATTTTTTATTTTAAATAATAATTTAAAAAAATTTCAAGATTATAAATATATTTTTTCCTTATATTTTATTATTAAAAAATTGAATTTATAATATATATCTTATTAATATTTTTCTATTTTCATCAAAATAGTTACTTAATTTTTATAAAAATTAATTATTTTAAATATTATTTTTTCTATAAATATGTATAAATACAACAACTTATGAAATATCAATATTTTTTGAAAAATATATTTATTTTATTGTTTTTTTCGTATTTTTTTTTAAAAAAAAATTAAAAACAAATATAAATTTCTAAAAAATTATAATAATCATATTTTCTTAAAAATTATGTAAATTCATTAGCGATATTTTATATTCTAACTTAACTAATAAATCATCCTATTAATCTTTAATTATATTACTAGGTTTTTTATATTTAGTACTTTAAGCTTATTATTTAGCTGCATGATACAATTTTTGTTAATATTATTCTTTAATTTAACTTAAATTCGAGTGGTATTTATTTAATTTTAAATTAAAATAATTTATATTTAAAAAATTCTGCAACTTAAGTACTTAATATTTTTTTATTTATTTTAAATTTATCAAAGCTCAATTTTAAAGTTCTTTAATAAACTTTTTAATAGAAAATTTTTCCATATTCATTTGCTTAAAGAAAAAATTTCGACATTTATTAAAAGCGATAATTTCTTATATATTTTCAGGGGTCATTTCATTTGTAAATTATTAATAAATATTTATTAAATTAATTGATTTTATTAAACATACTTAATTGGTTATTCAATATTCTGAAGATTTTAATTTATTTTCAATATATTCATATGTTTTTTAATTTCCTTATGAGAGATAATTTTTAAGCAAAATAGAAATATTTTAGTTCATTAAAGTTAAAATACATATTTATATAATATTTTATGCTTTTTAGATGATATAATTTATGTCATGAATAAAAGGAAAAATATTATTATTAGTTAGAAAAAAAGTTATTATTTTGTTTATACAGTCTCAAAAATTAATTATTTCAGTAATATCTTAAGGGATTTAAAGTCAAATATTTACTAATAAACATAGTCGGAGAGTGGATGCATAAATAGATTTGTTACGATCATTAATATATTGAGTAAAAAATATTTTTAATTAAAAATATATATGGCATTTGTAGAAATTAATTTGGATTAAACTAAGAAACTTATATTAATTTGATAATTCATTTTTTTTTTGATTTTATATATTTATTATTTTAATGGATATCATTTTATTTATTTTAAATAAAATAATTTATGAATTTATAAAATCGTTATTTTTTATAATTTTTTTACATAAAAAAATAAATACTAATTTTTGATTATATACTTTTATTATTTAGTTTCATTAGTATTTATATATAGATAATCAGATTTTCATATATATATGTAAAGTTTAAATATGATATTTTATTTGAAATATATTTTAAATTTTATAATTACTAAAAAAGCTATTAAATATATATAATTTTCAATTTAAATTAAAATTAATTTTTTTATATTTTAATAGTTAAAAGAATTAATTAAAATAAATTTTATTATCAAAAATATAGTTAAAAACTTAATTTCGTATTTAAAAATCTTTTCTTTTTTTTTTAATACATTAAAGCTTAAAAAACAATAAAGCTTTAATTTTTTATATTAATGTCGTATTTAATTAATTCAGAGCGATATATTTTTTTATTAATTTTAATTATTATTATTTTTACAAAAATCTTAATAATTTTATTATTATAAACTTTAAGTCTTTAGGTTTAGTAATATTAATAAAAACATTTTTACTTAATTAATTTTAATCAGAAACGAATAGTATTTATATTATTATTACTTTAATATTTATTATAATTTTTTTTTATTTGATAAATAACAATAAAAATAAAATATGTTATTAACAATTAAATTGTCTTAAAGCTTTATTTAATTTTATACTTCTAATTTTATTTTACAAATTATATATATATTAACAAAACTTTTGTAAAAAATTGATTTTTATTTTATTATTATATAAATTAATTAAATATTTACATTTTTAATCAAATCTATATATTTATTTAACTACATTCAGTCTTAAACTATATTTATTTGATTTCTATTATTAATTATAAAAAATGATTATATATTAAATTTAATTTATATTTTTTAAATAAAATGAATTTTTATTTATAACAAATAAAATATTAGTACATACTTAATTTTATTTTATATTTTCAATTAGTTCTGAAAAATTTAATAATTTATTTTGAGACATTTATTAAATTTGTTTGCATTTTTTTACATAAATCATTATTTTATTAAAAAAATTATTTTTTCATAAAAAACACCTTTTTTAAGATATGCATTAAAAATAAAATTACATATCAACATTTTTTCAAAGTATCTTCTTTCACCAAAAATAATATTAAGATTAAATTGATTAATTGATAAAAAATTATCTATAAATAAATATAAAGATATTTTATATAAAGATGACATTATACTATTTATTTAATTTGTTTTAGAGATTTTATTGAAGTTGAATAGTGTAGTTTAACTTAATACGAACATATTTGCCATAAAAAATGAATTTTTCTTTCGATCGCTAATAAAGATTAATGTCTAAATCTAATCTATTGGAAGCACAAAAACATACATAAACACTTATATAAGGAATATACACAAACACATATATAAATTAATGTATATTAGTATTAGAATTTTATTAATAAAGTAAAGGCTATTTTTATTAATTATATGAATAAATATATTGTAAAATTTGAAGTATTAAAGCAATCATTTAATTATTCTTTTAATTAATATTTTACTGTTTAATAAAATAAATAATTTAAATAAAATTTTTTAATATATATAATGTTTTATTTAGTTTTATTATTATAAAATTATGACTTTTTATTAGAGAACAAAATCAAATAAATACATATTATTTTGAAAAAAAAAAATATGAAATAATATAGGTGTAAATATAATGTTTTGGATTTTATTATTTTCAAATAAAAAAATACAAATTGTTAAATTTACTTTTAGAATATATAATTTAAGTTATAATATATCATCTAGTTTCCTCGTTTCCAACTTATAATTCTAGTTCAGTAATTCTTCGTTATAATCCCAAAAGTTGTTGTTAAAGAGCTGTTTTTTCACCTTTTAGAGATGTTATTTATTATTATAATCTTGCGTTTTCGGCTTTTTAATGTGCAAAATGCCTTTTCATTTCTTCATCGATTCTTTGCAATTCGTTTGTCAATGTTTTTTTTACATCTTAAGTTTTCATTGACAAAACTGATTATAATGTATCTTTTTCACTTTTAAGAATTTAAACCTCTTTTTTGTGAAAATTCATTTCTTCGGCAATACCTTTTATCATTTCCTTTTATTTTATTTTTTTGTTATATACATTATATTTTTTTTACTTCTAATGACATTAATTTTCCTTTTAAAGATGCAGGATTGGATCCTCCAAAAGAGTTTTAAGTATTATAAAATCCTTTTTGTGTGTCTTCAAAACCTCTTGTATTTCCTTATTTAGATGCACTCATTTTTTTATTTTTTATTTATTATTTTTTTATTAGAGAAATTTATTTTGTAATTATTTTTTTATTTATAAATTATATTGCAATATAATAATTTTTTATTAAGAAAAATATTTTTTGTTTTTTGTTTTTTTTGTTAAATTTAATTGGTTATTAATATATATTTTATTTATATAATTTTTTTAAATTAATAATTAAAATTTTTAATTAAAATATTTAACAAATAATATAATAATTATTATTATTTTTACTTTTTATTCCTTAGTATAAATAACGAAATATGTGTACTTTTCTAAAAAAACTTAATCTAATATTAAATTTATATTTATATTTATATTGAAATTATATTTTATAAAAGTTTAATAAATAATTTAAATTTTGTGTAAAGAAATTATATTATTTATTTGAATAATTACAGAGTAATAATTTAAATTTCAAAATAATAGGATTTTTAATTAAAAATAGCTTAAATATATTTTTAGAGCAATTTAATTTAATTTTTTTAAATATTTAGATAAATAATTAAAATAAAATAATAATAAACTCGTAATTTTTATTTAAACCTTATAAAAAATTCACGATTTATTATTAATAAACATGAAAATTAAATCAACCATTTAATTTTATATAATACTTGATTATATTTTTTTATATAAAGTATTATATAACAAAAAAATAAATTAATATAAGCATAAAATAAAATATATATAGTTAAACAATATAAATATTAAAATCATACAAAAATTGAAATAAAATAGATCATAAAAAAAAAACTTTTTAAAAATGGATATAATGTATTTTATTTTATTATGGATATGATATGTGAAATACATAAAATACAAATTTTAAAACAAATTATAAATTAAAAAAAGTTTTTTTAAAAAATAAAAATTAATATTTAATGAAAAAAAAATATTTAATAGTAGTAATACGATTAATTATACTAATAACTATTACTATTATATAATTCATAAATTAATATTTTATTTATTTAAAAGTATATATAATATTATACATATTATATGAATAATTATCAATTTCAATTTTTTAATAATCAATAATATTTTATTACAATAAAAATTAATTTAGATGTATTTATATATTTAGATTTATTTTATTTTCAATATTTCATATAATTTTTTGAAGGCTTGAAAAATAAATAAATAAAAATAAAATAATATTTAGTTATTATAGTTAAATTTTATTAATATTATATTTTTAAGGAATAATGGATGAAAATTACTTAAGATAAAGTATAGTGATCACATAAAATGTAATTTATATATATAAATATAAATAAATAATTTCATATTTTATTATAATTTTTAAATAATACATTTAATAAAATATTTTTTTTAAAAAAAGTAAACTTATTTAAATTTAAATAATGAAAAATAATTACTTCCTCCTGCATAAATGTACAAAAATATAAATAAAAAATAGTTAAATTATTAAAAAAAATAGTATTGTTGAGACATAAAATGAATATTTGGAATAAAATAAAAACTTTAATGAATTTATAGATAATATATAACAAAACGAAACAAAAAAACTTTAACTATTAGAAAGATTTGATTGTTTAAGAAATCCTGATTGGGCTTTTTTAGATTGTAAGTTGGAAGACCCTTTATATACTTAATAGTTAAAATTATTGTGTATAACTTGGAATATGCATGGTGAATTAGCAATAGAAAATATAAAATAACTGATAGAAATAAAAAATGTTCAACATCATTTAATAGCTATAGGTTCTTAGGAATGTTAGAGGTCTATTGCGATGAGTTTTTTATTTTCTTCAAAGCAAAAATGGGAGAATATTTTGCAAAATTAATTAGGAAATTAATATATTCTAGTAAAAAGTGTAACAATGAATGCATTACATTTAGTAATATTTGCACATTTAAATATATTTTACCATATATAAAATGTGTATTCAGATTCAATAGCAACAGGGATGTTTAATATTTTAGGAAACAAAGGAGGTTTGGGGATAAGTTTAGATATAGGGATTAAGAAATACATATTTATAAATTCTCACTTTGCTTGTGGATAAGATGAAATTGAAAAACGAAAAAATAATTTTGAAAGAATTTATAAAAATTTGGATTTACCGCCTGGAAAAAAAAAGGAAGAATAAGAATTAAATAAAAGATTTGATTATATTTTTTGGATGGGAGATTTTAACTATAGGTTGGATGTATAAAATAAGAATGTAGCAGACTTAATGATTAAAGAAAAAAGTATGTTCGAATTATTAAAAAAAGATTAACTTTAATAAGAAAAAATTAACGGAAATATCTTTTAAAAATTTAAGGAAGGAATTATTTTGTTTCCACCAAGCTATAAAATGTTAAAGAAATAAAACTCTTATGCCTTGGGAAGTAACGCCAGGATACATGGATGGACTGATAGAATATTATTTAAAGAAAAGATTAAAAATAGTATATAGTTGTAGAATTATGAAATGGCTTTGAATGTTTTAGGGTCAGATCATAGACCAATTTTCGCCTAGTTTCTAGTTTAAAGTGTAATTTAACCTTGTATGTAGTATAATAGTATAAGTTAACCATAGTATTGTAATTGTTGTTGTGTTTTTTGAACAAAATAAGACATTAATATTTTTATTTATATATACAAATAACATAACATTTCTTATTAAAAGATTTTTTTTATATATAAAATATATATGTTTGTATATATATATATATATATTAATATTATTTTATTTAAATCAAAAAATTATACATTTTTAACATACACAATAATTTTATTTATTTTATTTAATAGATTTTCTTTATTATATTTAATAAGAAGTTTATACTGGAATAACTGTATTCCAATTTTATTATTATTATTTAGATCTTAATTCTTCTTGTGCTAGTTACTATAAAATATGTTTTTTTATTTTTGGATTAAATTCATCAATTTTTATAATTTTTTAATCTAATGACTATTTTTTAAATCTAGAAGGATTTTTTTATTATAATGATTACTTAGAAGATAATTATTTATCTATATTTGTTTTAGATTCAGCAATCTAGTAAATAGCAATATTTGATTAACTTGCTTTTTAATCTTTAATTCTTTATTAATATACTAAACTGTTTCTCATCATCATTTCTACTATTGGGTTTTATAATAATTATTAACTTGATTAAATATTAGGGTTAATAGTAGTTTTAATATTTTCAAAATCGTCTTAATAATTATCTTATTATATGCTTTTTAAACCATGTAATTAGAATTATTTCTTTTTGTTATTAATAACACTTTTGGAGTTTGAAATATTTGTTTCACTTAATAAATTTGGAATGGATTAATTCGATATACATTTTATATTAGGCATTTAATTAAATATATATTTTTATGAAACTAATTATTCACTTTTTTAATTATTATTATCTTAAATTTTATTTTTTTATGTCATATCCAAAGTCCCTAATCTTTTTAAAAGCCTTTTATCTTGTTTAGGAAATAAAGAGTTGTCTGTATTTTATACTTTATTTATTGTTACTTTATTCATATAAGAATATTTTTCAATAAATTGCTTTTTTATATTTTTTATTTTATTTTATTTTTACAAAAAAAGATAAAATACTTCCATAATAAAGCATGCGTTTAATACATCTTGAGAACTTTTATTTTATTAGTGATATTTAAATATTTAATTTTAAGAAGAATCTTAATTATTTCCGTTTAATAAAAGTTTAATCCAAAAATCTTATTTTATTATATTAATTTTATTTTTTATTAAATGATAAAAAAAAACCTAAATCTTTTGGATTTGTATTTACATTTTCTAATCTATTTATTTATACTGAATTTTTTTTTTTTTCTAATTCTTTTTAAATATCCATATATTTTTAATTATCTTTTTATTTATCATTAATATTAGTTTATAAAAAAGAGAATCTAGATTTTTATTAAACTTTTCCATTATATTATAATTATGAAATATTCTAATGTTCATTATCAGAATCATCGTTACTTTAAGATCTAGTGTTTACAACTGAAATAATAAAATTCATTTTCTTAAAGTCTAAAGTATTTAATTAATTAATTTATATTAATATGTTGTTATTAAGATAAAAACTATTTTTTATTAAAAATAAAATTACTACTATCTCTTTTTTTTTTTTTTTTTTTACAATTTTCAAAATATAATATTTTAATTTAAATTCAGCTTCAGTTAAAATTCTTGTATATAAAATTTCAGCTAATTATTCATAATATTCAGCTTTTTCAGTATCAACAATAATATTAATAATTCTTTCAACCGACTTAAAATTAATAAAATTATATTTTATCAAATATATATTTTTTACATTACTACACATTAATGTCCATTTTGCTTAAAAATATTCACTTAAAATTTATTTTAAACTACTATATTAAATTTTCTATTAAAATAATTATTTCTTAAAAAAAAATTTTTTGACACTTTTTATAATATTTTATTTATTTAATATATATTCAGCATCTATATTATTCCATAATAAAGCTTCCTTTTTATTTTTTTATTTTAATTTCCTTTTTTTTTTTAATACTTCCTAATATCTAAACTTGTCATTAAAATTATTTTTATGCAAATTATCACAACTTGAATGCATTCCTATAAAAATTCCTAATTTAGTTATTAATCTTTTTAAAGTTACAGGTTTTATATGGATTTTAGTTTTTTAATCAACTTTCATTAATTTTTATATATCTTTTAATACATTATTTATTGTAAAAGAAGAAATATGTTTATTTTCGTTTTAATATCTGAGTAAAATATCTTCTATTTGCCTATAATTTAATTCTTTTGCTTATTAATGTTATAAATTAAAATAATCGTATCCGGTTTAAATTTTTATGGCATAAATTAAATTATAAATATTTTCAATTGGCTTTTAAATGTTTGGTTTATCAGTAATTGTTTCTATGCCAACAATATTCTATTTTTATTTTTTATTTTTTTAATATAAATATATAAATAACTTTAAATTTATTAATTCTATCATCAATTCGTTTTTTA